CAATATTTCGAGCTGAATGAGATCGAAGGAAGCAATCGGGTAAAGTACGCTGCTTATTATCTTGATGGTGAGGCCAATGTTTGGTGGCAATGGCTCACAAGGATCTACCGCAAGCGACAACAATTTATTACGTGGGATGTCTTTGAAAGAGAATTGCTCACACGCTTTGGCACGTCCGATTACCGCAATTATAATGAGGCTCTCGCACGAATACGCCAGACAGGTAATTTGCGTGAATACATTAAGGAGTTCGAACGTCTAGCCTGTCGCGTGCGAGATTGGCCCGAGGAAGCATTGGTGGGAACCTTCATAGGCGGACTAAAGTTTGATCTAGCCGCTGAAGTTCGACTCGAGCGGCCAGACACGATGCACGCGGCCATGAAGGTTGCTCGACGCCGAGACGACCACCTCACCGCCACACGAAAGGGACGGACGGACGCACGCTACCTCGAAACACAACGCGCACAACCGAATGAAAGCAATATGGTTCCGAGCGGCCGACCACCTGATAGCACTCGATCGACCAATAGCACGCAACCGCCGGGATCAGAAGTCAAGCACTTGACGCCCGAGGAAATAAAGCGCCGACGTGAGAAGGGACTCTGTTTCAAGTGCGACGAGAAATTTACGCCTGGCCATCATTGCAAGCAGGCTTTTGTCATCCACGTTATAGATCCGAACGAGGAAGAGCCCGAGATCGAGAAGGATTGGGAGCAAGAAGTCGAGATTGGGGGTTCCCGAAGAGGAGGCAGAGATCTCGATGCATGCGATGGCTGGTACAAGAGGACCGATGACGATGCGGCTACCGGCATTGGTCAAGGACCGTCGTGTAGTCGTGCTAGTAGATAACGGATCATCACACAACTTCATCAACGCCGATCTATCTCAAAAGTTGAAGTTGCCAACGACGAAGGTCGAACCATTCGAGGTACGAGTAGCCAATGGTGAACGGCTAAAGTGCACCGAGTCTTATCGTAGGGTGCCAATCAAATTTCAAGAAGTCACCATCAAAGCCGATCTCTATGCACTACCCTTGGTGGGACCCGACGTGGTGT